CCCCCCCCCCCCCCCCCCCTCTCTCTCTCTCTCTCTCTCTCTCTCTCTCTCTCTCTCTCTCTCTCCATAACCATCCATGCCCTTTGAGCTGCGGGCCTTGTTCAGAACACGTCTGCTTACCTATGTGACAAACAGGCATCACGTCCACCCCCAGGCTGACCTTGCCGTGTTCTTTCCGCTTTCGGTTGGACGATATCCAGCCTCGGTCAGTTTCAAACCGGAGGCTCCGTGTAAGTCCCAAACCGCCCGTGAGACAGGTTCCCGGGGACTCATGGGGGCGGGGAGTGGTCCCCCAGATTCTGCCTGTTCGCAGAAGATAGGATCGGGGTTAGGCTTCTAGGCCCGGCCAAGCCCCTCCCGTCTGCACGTTGTGGAGACGATTCTTGGAGATTTTGCCGGAAGGCGGGTTCCCAGTCTGATGGCCGTTCCCCTGCCCCGAGGATCAGGTTTGGTTCTGGGGCAGCTGACATACCTTTAGCCTCAGGGAGGCATGTGACCAATCAGAGGTAACATCCTGGCCAATCAGAGCACAGCATCTCCCCCAGCTGCTGCCATTGGCTCTGGCATAGGCGTGACCTATTGGTCCTCATCTCAGAGCTTGTGCTGGGCCCCGGGGTGTGGCTCCGGGGTTGAGCGCTGACCTGTGAACCAGGAGGTCACGGTTCGATTCCCGGTCAGGGCACAGGCCCGTGTTGTGGGCTCGATCCCCGGTGGGGGGCGTGCAGGAGGCAGCAGGTCCACGATTCTCTCTCTCATGGATGTTTCTCTCTCCCTCTCCCGTCCTCTCTGAATAAAAATATATTAAAACAAGAATTCGTGTAGGACAGTGCGGGCGTGGGGTGCCCCCTCCCTTCCCTTTTCCTGTAGGCAACGCGCCCCCGCTCCCACTAACAAGGCTGCGCTGGGTCCTGTGATTCGAGGCTCAGCCTCATCCCCAGACACGGCGCCCAGGGCACAGCCTCAGGCCCCTTTGGATTCGCTCGCAGGTTCTGTGCAGCCTCCGATGCCAGCTGCCTTGACACGAGTCCCAGCCGCCCGGCTCTCATTCCCAGAAGCAGAACTTGGAGCTGGTGGCGGGGAGAGCGGCGGAGAGAGGCTGTTCCTCGCCCCGCAGGCACGTCGAGCCGGGTGGCTGGGAGTTGCAGCCGAGGGGTCCCCTCTCTTGTCTTCCTTCAGGGGAAACGGAGGAGCTGGTGGGAGCCGCGTCCAAGGTCACGGAGCCTCACACACCCGGACCGGCTCCCTTCTGAGTGTCACCCAGAGGAGTGCAGCTGAGCCGCATTCAGATGCGTCCTCTCTCTTCTTTTTTAAAAATATATTCGTATTGATTTCCGAATAGAAGGGAGAGGGGGAAAGAGAGAGAAACATCCATGAGGAGAGAGCATCATGGACCGGCTGCCTCCCGCACGCCCCACACTGGGGATGAAGCCCGCAGCCCGGACATGTGCCCTGACCGGGACTCGAACTGTGACCTCCTGGTTCCTAGGTCGATGCCCCACCCCTGAGCCACGCCGGCGGGTGAAATGCAGTTTTTTGGGAGCCAGTGTGTCGGACAGAAAAAGAACACCTTCCCACAAGTCAGGATGCGAAGGCGGCTGGGAAGGCCTTCCTGTGGTCGAAGTTGTCATGGCGACGGA